TATATATATATATATATATATATATATATATATATATATATATATAAAAAACAAAGCTTTTAAACAGAAATATTGGTGCAATAGGCCAGCGGGGGACAGAAAGGAGTTAAATAAATGTAACACTGTAAAATTAACAGACAAACTTAGAATAATGACACTTTAAGGAGGTAGTTTTATGATTTTGTTTCATTACAATATGTTTAACTGCAGTTAAACTGTCACAAAGATTGATTGGACAGTGTATGAAAACATTTGTTTAATTTCAAGGGGCACAACACAAAAAGCTGGGATGTGGATGTGCACAAAGTGTACCTCTCTTTGAAAAAAACCAAAACATTTCTTCCATCTTGTCCGTGTTTAGTTTCCAAAACCCTGGACTATTGAGGCCATGTTGTTTAGCTCAGTTCAACTTAATTTTCTCACTATAACTGGCTGTTTTTTTTTTTTTTTTTTTATTATCAGATACTTTTCCTAAATTCTTATAACTTTAAGCCATTTGACCGGCAGTGTTAAGCAACAGGTGGAGTGAGGACGGCGCTTTGCTTATTAATGCCCAACACACTTGGAGAGAGCTTTATCTTGTTTGAAATGTTGTTAATGAGATACCAGCCTTGCAGCAAGAAGGTTCCAGGTTCAATTCCTGGCCCGGATCTTTCTGCATGGACTTTGCATGTTCTTCCTGAGCATGCGTGGGTTCTCTCCGGGTACTCCGGCTTCCTCCGGCTGTTAGTTTAATTGGTTTCTCTAAATTGTCCTTGGGGGTGAGTGTGTGAATGGTTGTTTGTCTGTGTTGCCCTGCGATGGACTGGCATGTAGACAGCCGGAAATGGTCACCAGCACCCCTCACAACCCTGGTTGGGATAAGCTTGACAGAAGATGGATGGATGGATGTATGTTTTTTTTCATGCCTAAAGATGAAAAAAATGACTTCTATGTGATAGTGGCGTCGGATGCAGGAGTTTGTCCTGCAACCGAAGTCTTGTTGGTTCAAGCTCTGTTAGTGTCTTGGGGCAAGACCCTTCACTCACATTGCCCACTGATGGTGGTGCCAGTGTACGGCAGCCAGGGAAGCTGTGTCTACAATGTAGCTTACCCTCATCAGGGTGTAAATGGGTGAGTGAATGAATGTAGTGTAAAGCGCTTTGATCAAGACTCCTCAGTTGAAAAAGTGCTGCATGGTTACAGGTCATTTACCATTTATTTTGAGGTTCTATTGGCTTTCTGGTACTTGATGAAGCGTCATTATTTGACACGGCAATTTCACTTTTGCTGAAAACTGTATTCCTCTAATATAGATTACTCACTGCAAAATTTCTTTTCCAGTTGTTTGACAGCTTGACATGTAAAGCTTTTTTTTTATTTTTATAAATGTATAATTGTTGTTATCAAATCTGTAATAAAGAAATATTTTTAATAAACCTCAGCTTGAATAAAAGGCACAAAAAAAAATACAAAAAGTTATTTGTATTCCCTCATGTAATGTAAACTTGACCTAATTAAAGATCTTTCAGTCTGTACTTGATCTGTTTGTCAGAAACAGATTTTCTGGACTCTAAAAGTCAAGTTTGTCCAGTTGACCTCTTTGCAGTCTGCTTCAAATTCACTTTTGGCCTGTCTGTGTTCACTGTTTATAAAAATGAGAGGTCCTCATCTTTCTGTTTAGCCATCTGTTAATTAAGCTATCTGCTATATTTAGCCTCAGCAGTAATATCAGCCCCAAAGTGGGTGCTAGGAAGGATCAGTGAGCTGGAAAGGTTGGTATGAGAACAGTTTGATGGAAGAGGTCGGAAATTAACATTCGTATTTGAAGAATACATCAGCTATTTTTACTATGAAAATCTAACCTTTCAGGAAAAGGGAAGCATGTTTGTAGGCTGAATGTGTAATGTTTCCATATCAATATTTGTCTTTCAGGAACTGTAGAAAGATGGAGGTTTGTCTTCAGCTTATGTTTACACAAACACAAAGAGAATAAAGAAAACCCTATTATTAGAAAACCTTATTTGCGTGAGCGTGGACAGGACCTTAAGCTGATGTTTGAAGTATTGTCCCCCCTCTTTTTTTTTTAAACATATGTAATGCAAAAACAGCAGAGAAACCACCAAAGCGTGTTGGCTAATACCAAACCCTTGATGAAGTTTTGGTGTCTGATTTTTTTTTTCTTCAATATGTGGATTAATGTGTAAGAATAAGTTCTGGGAGGAGGGTTTGTGGACTCTGGGACGTCATGCTTCATTGGTGAAACCAGTGTAAAGTCCATTCCGGTTTGCTGAAGTGGGCATAGAGTCTGCTGCATAGTCAATACCTGATCGGGTCTAAAGTTCAAATATTCAAAACACCCCCCCCAACAAGACGTGTATAATCACTTAACCAATTGGCACTAAGTTAATCCCTTTTTTTTAATATGTAATGTGTTGAGTTTAGTGATGAGAATTTCTAATGGTGTTTCAGTAACATGGTGGGATAAATGCTGGACATTGGTATAGAGATGTATTGATTGGGTTTTTCATATTTTATTTCCATTCAGCCTATATTAAAAGACAAAAAACTGCTGCATAAATTTTAATTTTGCAGAACCTTTAGTCTTTAAATGCAACAGGAAATAAAGGAGTCACACTATTTTCCTCATGCTTACCCCGTCATCACCTTGTTATAAACTGTTCTTTGCTCTTTTATATAGGCTATAGAAAGGTGTTTGATACGAGAACAATCAGCCTTAGGTTGGAAGGGGTTAATTTTTCCCTTTATCATCACACTGTCTTCCTGTGAACCAGAAATCCTCGCTCCGTATGCTGATCTTCTTCCACGAAGTGGAGCACCTAGTTTCTGACAGTTACTTTCAAGTGATAAAACGTGTTAGGCTCCTCCTTTCGTCATGCTTTGCACAAACGCCCGCGTCCGCTCGAATTCACTTACACATAGCGCAGCTGCTCCATGGCCAAAGGCAGACAGGCTGCTTCATCAACTGCACCATGGGCAGCAAGAGCAAGATGGCGTGTAAGCAAGTTTTTATTTTTTACCCAACATCTTGCACTGCTAAAAGTGTCTATAGCAGAATGCCTGCCTTTTTTTTCTCTCCTCATTTTGTGAATAAAACAGAAATGAAGCTATCCAGGGAATTAAACTTAATGCTGATGAGGGGAAATCTACTAATTAGTACTTGATCACAACATTTCTTTAGAGGATTGTATTGTGTGTTTTCGAGGGGTGTGGGCATATAAGCATGAGTGTGTTTTGGGACCTTGTCAGCGGACTGGGCCACAGGGGCCCCTGTGGTAATGTGTGTATTAAATGATTAGTGCGTTAGTTAGCATAACGGCCCTTCAGCAGCATTTAATCACTCTCAGGGGTGGACCTCCTAACAGGAGGGGGGGGCAATGAAGGATAGGTTTAAACTGAGGAGACTAAACTGAGAAACGGCTGCTTAGATGAGTGAGTGGATGATCTGTGGAGCGGCTGCAGAGGAGGGAAAAAAGAGAGGGCAGAAATCCAAGAGAAACATAATTCCAACAATTGCCACATAGTCGGCAAAGAGAGATACAATCAGTACAAGTCTTGGATGCGTTGTTAATGTCAGAAATCAACCCATCGTCTGGAACACGGCCCATGAATAGCTATTAATAACAATGCAAAATAAATGTGGTGAAAGGCGGGCCTGCGATCAGCCTTGACAACACTGTTTTTGATAATTGTTGCTGTTGTTATGTTACTCAGTGGGGAGGAGTCTTCTGGGGCTGACAGTTAATGATTGTTGTAAACTGCCTTGAATTTATCCAAGCTGCAGCCTTTTGCTGCAGCTTTATGCGTCTGACACAGATGTGTGTGATTGACAGACGGGGCTTGATGACGAGGATGTTACTGCCAGGAGTAGCAGAGCGTTTCCTGGCTGCAGAGAGGTGTTGTAGTGTGTCCTCTGGGTGGTCCCCAGCTTGATGGACTGTTTAAAAATGGCTTCTGAATGTTAGGGTTGTTCATTTTAATGACTAACAATAATGGTGCTGTTAGACATGGTTGAACACAAACTAGAACAAAAAGCAAACAAACAATTTAATTTGTGTTTCTGTTGCAGAAAGAACTAGATGCCACCGCCACACAGCTTGCCAACAGACAGGATGAGAGCGAACAGTCAAGAAAGAAACTAATCGACCTGAGCCGGGAATTTAAGAAGACGACTCCAGAGGTGAGAGAAATGAAACCTGTAGACTACCAGCCTAATTGTGTTTACTTTTAAGCTCAATAAATCAGAATATCATTAAAAATGTGTCATTCAGTTACTCAGTACACCAAGTGAAACCAGTAGCACAATAAACTGGTTAATTACTGTTAATGATGATTTTATGCTTACCGTTATTCAAAACACAATGAGGAAAAGTGATTTTTTAAGAAATATGTTCAATACCTGCTTAAAGGTTATTCTGATAAACAAGCCTTAATGGAATACATATTCTGATTTATTGAGTTAGTGTTTAGCTGTTTACACCCCACTAAGTGGACCTTTTAGAGAGGTGGGAACTCTTGTATATTTCCAGAACAGAGGGCAGAGTTTTGCTCTGGATGGGTTAAAAATATTTTCTCAAACTTTTTGATTTATTGTGTGGCTTCTGGAGTGCCATTTCTTGCATAAAGTTATTTTTAAAGATTCAATTTTCACCAGTTATTCTGTTAAAGTGATTATACGATTAAAAAAAAATTTTTTATAAAAAGTTTGAAAAGTTCTAGGTTACATTTTATGTTATTAAGTTCCTGTTTTCTGGGTCTTAAAGAGAGAGAAAGACAGTAGGCCCTGAAATATTTGAAAGGAGGAGTTGCTCATTTTTTCTCTTATCAAAGTTTACTTAGAAATCTACACTTAAATTGAATTAGGGCCGGGCAATTTATTGCATTTGCAATATAATCAAAATTAGAATAAAGGCATTTTTATTTTTTAATCAAAGGTACTTAGTTTTGGTCAAGGAGCTGACTCTCATTCCAAACCTTTATTAATATGCTTTAAGTGTGTTTGCCACCACACATAAGGGAAGAGAGAGTTGCAGCTAGGACGCAGATCTATGCAGGAGGGTAGAAGGAACAACATTTTCAACAAAGGTTAAAGTAAAGTCCTGCAACAATGGATTCTGGACAATCAAGCTTTCTGCTTCTGCTACTTCCTGCTTATTTCAACTCCAAGATTGTTATTGAATGTGACACGTAGTGCCAACATCTACATAAAATAGTTTAAAGAATCAAAACAAGGACATTGTTGTTGTTTCAATAACTGATTTTAAGACTGAAAGAGAGGAGGCAGCCATTGATTGTTTGTGTAGCAAATTCTACTCTGCAACACGTCACATTACTGTGGTGAAATGACATACTATTGCTGGATAGGAATTTATGGTTGCAATGTGGAATAGAGCTTTCTGGTGTGCTGCATAAAAAAAAAAACTTTACAGAAATCTCTGGACTAAACTAGTTCCGTTTTCTGCAGATTTCCAAAATAAGCACCGACTTTACAGAAGTTCTAAAGTCTTTTCTCTATGGCCGAATCACAGATCAGAGTTTTCCTGCTGAAATGTTTCACTTTTATTTCTATGGTGGGAGCCTGTCTTCCACACAGAGGCTGAACATGATGCAGTTCCTGGAATAGGAGGGAGCCTTTCAGCCTCAACGCATTGGGTTAGCTTTACCAGTCTGGTTAAAGACCCCAGCAGCCAGGGTAAAACAGGAAGCTCTGGGTGGAAAAAAAACGACTCTGCTGCATAGTCCAAACACACCTTGATGGTTCGTCTGAGTGAGTCTCTGCATCTGCTTTATTCATAAACGCCGCTGTGATTATTTACTGACAAAGCAGAGGAGGAGAAGGTAGAGCAGGGATGCAGGCTTGTCTCCCAAAAATAGTCCCTCCATTAGTTTCCCTGAAATCCTAAAGAGACAAAACAGAAACCCCCTCAGGAGTTTGTATTATCTGACCTAGTTTTTTATGTGAGCAGAAGTGTGGTCCCTGTGTGTGTGTGTGTGTGAGAGAGACGGAGAGAGAGAGGGAGAGAGAGAAGAGGCAGAACAGGGCTGAACAGGAGGGGTAAGAGAGAAAAAGAGTGTGACAACACTACTAAGTGGGATCAGGAGGGAATTCTGTCCCGTTCCTGTGTTCCCATTGCTCCTCCTGGGAATATTTGTTTCATCTCTGTTACCAAGGCAACACATTTTAAAGCTCACAGTGAAAACAAAGTATTGTTGTGTTATTATTGGTAATGTCGCCATGGTGAATTATTGATGGTAGCATGAATAATGGATGAATGGTGTAGACGGTGGATAGAAAATTGTCAGCTCTCGATGGAGTTGACAGTAGGCCCATTATAGTCACCACAGCATGAGGATCGTGACAGTTGACTTCAGTATGTAATCCTCCGGGTTTACACAAAAGGTGTTGATTCCACATCGTATCTTTTCTCCTTTTCAGCAGTAACTGTTTAACCAGCAGGAACACATAGGGTGATAGGCTAGATCGGCGAACAGGACTCACACATTCACGAGTGCAACAAGGCTGTGATTTAGGAAGGCTCCTCTGGCGTCTGTGTGGCCCCTGGCATCTCCCTGGTATGTGGAGGAGGAATCTGAGCCAGGCCAGACGAGCGACAGGATTCATTACCGAGCTCTAACGGGCTCAATAGGAATCGGCACTAAAACTCTGGGCGGTTGGAAGTGCTGAAGCATCAGAGCTGCCTACTAAAGAGCCTGGTTCAGGGCATGTGATGGATTAAAGATCTTCGTGTGTGTTTGTGGAGTTGATTTCTATTTTCTTTTTTTGTTTTTTTTTATCTGCATGGCTCTGTGTGTGGTTGACCAGCCCATAGAGGGGGCTGTCAGCTCTCTGTGGTCCACACTAGTCAACGGAGATCACAGTCACATCAGATCAGACTGCATTAGGCAGAGCGGGAGTCCGTCTCTGATCCATTATTCAGCAACCAGGAGACCGGCCCACGTTGACTGTGTCTAGTCTGCCGAGCTGTACTCGGTGTGAACCGCACTCATAATAACACACACATACACACAGACACAAACAGCAGCGATAGCAGCATTTGGAAAGTAGTGCAAAGAAATGCAGCGTGAAAACAAAGTTTTTATTATTCATTAGGACTGACACGCAGATTCCCCCCCCTCTCCCAAAGACTACATCTCGCTGGGATTCCTAATTTAACTAAATTATTAATCTGCTTTTTAATTTCGCTTTAGTTAAGCCTTTGCTATTATGATATAAAAAAAGAGGCAAATATTGGGTGTGATTGTAAATTGTCTCAAAGTGTGCTGGCCGGAGGCAGCGGTAGTAAAATAACACACACCAACACACAGTCATGCGTTTGTGTTTAGCTGTAGGGCAGATAGACAGACAGACAGACAGGGAATGGGAGTTCCATACTCCCTGGAGGATTCCTCGGGCTGGCCTGTCTGCTGTCTGCCGGCAGCTTACACACCAGCCATCCGTCTCCTGCTGCCTGGGCCCCTCACTCCCCTTCCAAAACACACACACTCTCAGATTGACCATGGTGTCTGTGTGCATTGTTATGTTATTTGGTCATAAATCTTTAGAAGTGGTGGGGGTGGGGGAGGGAGGACTCTAGAGGGGTTCAGAGCCCCGCCGTCCAGCAGAGGTAGCTTGACGCTTTATGAGTTAAGGCCTTGATTTTTATTTTTTTATTTTTTCTATTTGTTCTGCCTTGAGATCCAAAAACGACAAAAGCATAAGAAAAAGGTTGAAAATTTGTATAAAAAAGCAAATTCTTGTTGGGTTTTTTTTATTTAATTTTATTAGTAGGTTTGGGTTTCTACTCATTTTAAATCCGATTGAATCCTTTGTCTTTATCCTGAGATGTGCTGCACATGTCTTTGATAGAGACAGAAATGAAGGAATTCTCCCTGTTTGCAGGAAATTGTGTCTGTTTACTAAGCTCAGAAAGTGCTGCTAATGTGTTTATGGACCGAAAAGGGTTGTAGTTCTTAGTTCGAATGTATTTAATCATTTGGAGTTTAGTACTTGATCTAATGGTTATTAATCAGAGCTGGTGGGGCTCAAATTGTCCGGTTCCAATCTTTGGCTGATCGGTTTCTGATTTCGCCATTCCAGTGCAGTCTTCTGCACTTCCTACATTCAGGAAGGCAATAATATGAATCATAGCTTTTCTTTTCATTCCTGTGTCATATCCTTATTTTCTCAATTCATACATTACATAAACTTATTGATTCTTTTATCTTACATGTTTAAGATTTGGTCTTGCTGCAATTCAACTGAGTTACTTGCTGAGTTTTCTTCCTGAATTTGTCATCAGGTTCTATATAGGCCTGATATTGAGTCTTTTGTTAGATTCAGGTGTCAGAATATGATCTGGATTTAGGGATTATGAACTGGCCACTGAAAATGTTTATATCAGAGGTGCCCAGTTCAGTCCTCAACTTCTTAGATGTAGCTCTTCTCAAACACAGCTGAAAGTAAAGAGTGAATAATGAGACACTCATTTGATTCAGGTGTGTTGGAAAAGGGATGCATCAAAGGCTACGTTCACAATGCAGGCCATGATGCTCAATTCTGATTTTTTTTTTGTCAAATCAAATTTCCAAATACAATAGGCCTTTGCAACGCTGTCGCTGCTCGGGCCTAAATATATACGACTCGTATGTGATCTCCTGTGTGATACAACACGTGTGTCACACATGCGCAGTAGAAGACGTAATGACATCACAGGCCAGCATGCTCTATGTTTACGGAAGTAAACATGGATGGTAGTGCTGGAGAGCATCTAGCGATCTTTTCCAGCCATCAAAAC